CTCCGTATAGGGCGTTTCACCGACCGGTCGGGTCTAGGGCTTGCAGCCGTCAATGCTCTTGGGTCCAACAAACTCGCTTTCAAATCCAAAGTCGTCTCTCGTGCCCATGCCGAGATTTGGGTGGAACAGGGCAGTCGATTTTTCGTCAAAGACACCAAAAGCAGCTCTGGCACGTTTTTAAATCACGTACGACTTAGCCCTGCCAACACGGAATCACGGCCCTTCCAAATCAAGGATGGGGACATTCTACAACTTGGTGTCGACTATCAGGGTGGAACTGAGGATATTTACAAGAGTGTAAAGATCAGAATTGAAATCGGTCGAGAGTGGCAGTCTGGTGCCAATGCCTTCAAGTGCGCAGCTTCGTTATCCATGCCTGATGCACAAGCACTAATCTATTCTCCATCCAGTACCAATGCCCTGAAGAATCTTAAATCCCTTGCGTTACCCGCCGCAAACGGCAAACAACCAGTTGCAAAAGTCCCGGTTGTGGGCAAATCACAAATCCCTGATTGTTGCATATGTAAGTCAATAACATACCTTCATCTTGGATGAGGCCTCACACGTCTACACTTTTACAGGTCTTTTCAGTGTTACTATCCGTCAGGCCCTTTTTATCGCTCCCTGTTCGCACACATTTCACTACAAATGTATACGACCCCTACTTGAGTCCCACCATCCCGCCTTCTCTTGCCCCCTTTGCAGAACGTTCGCCGACCTGGAAGAGGATGTCGAAGTAGAGGCAGAATACGAAGAAGAAGCTGATACAGACGAGGCAGATGCCAATGCCGGGACACCTAAGAAAGATACGCCCAACGGAGATGGTGCGGATATTGACATTGATGTCGAAAGTCCTCTGCTTTCTGATACTCAAGCTCATTCAGCTCTACCGGATACACTCGAAGGTGCCGGCGGCATCGACCTCGAGAACCTTGCAGCATCACGTTCCAACTCCGGACTTGCCATTCGTGGTGAAGTAGGTGGGGCAGAGACGGAAGTTGAAGGGGATGGTGGCGCAAGTCGTACAAGGGGTGGCACAAGACGAGGCGCTCGTGCTGGAGGCAGTGGTACAGGCAGTGGAGCTGCAAGTCCTCTGCCTGATTTCCCTGATGAAGACGAACCGATGGTGATTGACTTATCTCAAACACACGATCAACAACATGCGGGAGAAATGGGTGTCCTTGAAGGTGCTGAAGGATTGATTGATGTTGACGGTACCGCTGTTGGAGCCAAGAGGAAACGCTGAATCTCCAGCCGACTTGTTTGCCCTCCGCCGTCGTAGTCGTTCCATACCTTTGGGTTACCTCCCCTCCGTTTTAGGTCTCTTGGATAACTGATGTTTGGTTTGGACCTACTCTGTTTTCTTTATTGCATGCACGCTACCCCCTTTTACTGTACTGTTTGTATCCCGTGATGTCTGTATTAAACTTTTTGAATAATACTGTACCCATAACTCTACCAACGGGAGCTCTCAAATTGGATATCGTTTGTTTCCTTAGGTCTGGCTGTATGTAGGGGCATGTGACTCAACAGAGATCCGCCGAACTACGCAAGGTGGCTGCAACACATCAATATGCCCTCGTGCGGACTCAGACATGGGCCATGGCGAGAAAATGAGATTTGTGAAGGATGACTTAGACAATCATGCTTATTGATTCAATTTTTGTATATTTTATTTGGATTTGATCTGTCCGACGGATTTACTGACCCAATTTGGTTCCCAAGGTAAAACTAGTACGAATGTCCTGAAAATATGAAATGTCTAATCAAGGTCGTCAAAGTACTCATCCCCTGAATCGCGAGCGAAGTCCTCCTCAAAGTCATCTTCTAGCTCACGGACTGCAAGTACTGGGACCGGATTAGGGTTCGGCTCGGGTTTTGGGCCTGCAAGGAACGAATTAATGCTAAAGAAACGTTAATATATTTGATTCATTTACAAGGATACACTTACGTCGACGCTAACTCAGCCGTGCTCTTAAAACCATGACCAGCTTTATGAGCGTTGTGCGCCAGGGTCCTCCAAATGGTAGGGGTAACTGTTTCCCGTGCATCGATGACAGGCCCGGCGGGTTGTTGAGGAATCATCGAGTTAATTCTACGAATAAGGTCAGTACGTTGTCACTTTCTCGAGGATGAAATTTATACTCACGTTGAAGCCGTTCCGATGGTGCTCTTGATAGCATGAGCAAACTTATGGCCTTGATGTGCGACATCCGTGAGTAGAGTACGAGAAGCAGCGGTGATTGGTTCCCGAGCATCCAACTCAAGATCCCGACCTTTCACCATAGATTTAATTCTAGCCAAATCAGGTTAAAAGAAAAGGCCGGAATCTAGAGCATAAAACTAACGTTGCAGCAGTCTCGATGGTACTCTTCGCAGCATGAGCGGCTTGGTGAGCATTGTGTCCAGCGTTCCTGAGTTGCCTAAGTTGAGCAGGAGTGATTGCTCGAGCTTCAATCTCTAAAATTCTGATATTTGGTTACGGTCAACGCGTTAAAGTCGCAAAATATAGCTTTAGCCTTACCCAAACGAAACAGGGGCGGCAAGGGCAGGAGCAGCGACAGCGATAGCAAGAACAAAGTTGTGGAGTTGAACCATGTTGAGCGAGTGAAGGTTGATGGTTGGAATTAGGGCTGTAGGTAGGGCTGCGTACAACACGATGTTTGATTAGTTGAGAGATGATTGGGGATGGAGACCAGCTCTAGTGAAGAAACTGAAGGAAAACGACAAGGTTTTATAATAGACGCCATGCGAGTCGAATGGCCCTGCATGCCATACCGTTGACATCGATTGCATCAGGTAACCCGGAGATACATAGAACAAGGAATCTTTCCTCTGCATGCATCGGTCGGCTAACGCATGTCGTGATGGAGACTACATTAATCGTACTGCTGAGCGCAGGTGACAAAAGTTTGCGGACCATACATTTTCATTATGTTGTTGAGGCCGGAAAGAAGCTTCGACCAAGGTCCCTGGATACATATTCAACACAGGTCAAGGAAAGTTGTCGGACATCTGATTGGTTACGGTTTTGATTCCACCAAGTAGCTTTATAGGGGAATTGTGAAATGCTGCGAATTTTTCAGCCACCAGCCTAGAGTATCCCCGCTTGCGCCGTAGATGTGTATACACACGTTGGTGCTTGAGCTCGAAGGCAAGCCTGCCACCAGGATTACCTAAAAGGGCTAATCTCAATCAGTCGTCCATGAGGTTAGATGAGGTCTCGCCCTTTCGAAGCGAAAGTGGTTGAAGTACATGACTACAATGCCCGGAGATGTGTTGACTAGCTTCGCAGTTGAAAATCCAACAAAGTTACAAGGAGTATCATGTGGAAACGGCGTCCCGGAATGCAAGGTCGCAAATACTTATGTACATGTGGGCTTGAGTCCGTTAAGCCGATAGCATTTGGCAAAGTAAGTAAGTCAGAACTTTCCAAAAGCAATGTACTTCTCCGACCCGGCAATACGATGTATTGAAACGATCCCCAGGAATGATGTCGATTCGGAGATCACTTGGATAGTTGTGCTGGCAACCAAGCTTCTCGTTCTTTCATGACCGATGCTCCAAAGGGTGCCTGCTGTATTCATCTTTCTACGACATCTATCAGCTGGTGTAATCCTACCTTGAACATGGTCTACCTTTGGTGACTCGTCGTGGAGGTTGAGCTCAAGAGTCAAGAGTTGACCGCTGTGAGCGTGCATACAGCACGTGGTATGATGTTCTAGTCTTCAACCATTCTCGTCCTCCGACGCCCTGGATTGACGACGCTAATGCCTGCCTTTGGTACCCCAGCCGACTTCAAATTACGCTAAAGCGGCTCTGTACTTCTATAGGTAAGAAACAGTAGCCATCATCAAAGTTCATTGGAGGTACTTAGACCCATTTTACCACCACTAGAACCCCTAGTTTGACTTGTTAGACTTTCCTTCGCGAATACCGGCAAAATAAATACGGAAAGAAGAAAAAGGGATATGGCGCCATTCTCAGCATTAAACCCACAAGTCCATTCCTCCAAGTGGACGGACATCTTCATTTTCAACGGCGTCTCCAAATGAAATCAACAGAGTTTGCTCGTTATCGCATGAGCTTCTTGGTTGTGAATTATACATTTTTAGGGCATGTCACACTTTATGGCTCTGGAATTTTTCACCAGAGATACCTCTTCACAACGCCTAAGCTTATGTCCGAGCCCGCCCCAATGCGACATCATCCTCCCTATGACTTGGAGTCTCTCTGGTGGATGGCTGTGTGGACTGGATTCGGTTTTCTTCCCTTTGATTCACATACTTCTGAAGACGATCTTCAGAAGCTGCAAACCAGCCACAATCAAAAATTAGCCGATTCAGCAGAGCTCTCTTCCCAACGATTGGCAGCATTTACATTTCCAACCACCCTTAACATTTTGCAATTTTGTCATCTACGGGGTAGACCGCTTATGGTGGCCTTCACTCGACCAGTGCTCCAAATACGAGATCTGCTGTGCCAATGGTATACAGATGCTGAGTCTACTCTTCCAACTAATTGCAAATATGCTGTATTCGAAGGCACTCACGCTGCTGTATTGGAAAAGATGGAAAAACATGGAGTGCGATACGGACGGAAACTACTTTCATTCTTCCTTTTGGTAGGAAATTGAAGAGGCAAACTGAAAAGGAAAAGGGAGCAGAGGTGCATACGGGAGTAAAACCGTCCTAGAAATGAGATACCTCACTCATCGCGATAGTAGTCGCCGGTTCACTCAAAATGAGGGCTTTGAACTTTGCTTATATATGCCGGGCGTTATAGCACGAGATTCGTCTTGATAGACAATATATGTATGCTGCTCAGCCTGATTAGTCTCATATCCCAGTCTTTGTATCTTTTAGGTCTCGTCGTGCGAGGCAGGCGCTAATCGTACGGGCAGCGCTTATCACGGACCACGTGACTTAATGTCAGCGCCCATTTCTTTCGCTCAATCAGCGTTTTCCGGTCATATTGATGTTTTTTGAACCGGTCTCCGAGGCCGTGTGGCGAAATGGCATCGCGTCTGACTACGAAGTCGCGAAGACTCCGAAATCAGGAGATTGCAGGTTCGACCCCTGTCTCGGTCAATTTTTTTTTGCCTCTCCCAGAGTGATATTTTGCCACGCCTTCTCTTCAGTTAGGAAGCTCTGCACGACAAGAGTGGGAGGGTATACTTCCTAGCGTTTTTGTATAATGACAGATGCGTTATCGTTAGTCAAATGCCTGTATATATAGGACGATCATTCAATGTGCGTAAAGAGCGCCAACGATATGAAGTCTGATTTCATCCATCACGAAAGCTCTGATACTACAATAAGCCAGGTGTTTAAATGATAAAATAGACCAAGTGGACTAATCCAGCTGGTCAACACAAGTCGTGCGGGACATAAGATGTGGGAATCCGCGAAATGATAGGGCGTGTATGATCATGAAGATTTATTGAGATGATTCGACTGGTGCAATTCGACCTAATATCTTTCCAACAGCCAAGGATCAAGGGTGATAGGAAGGCAATATGGTTTGGTTCAAAGCTGCCATCAAGTCATCCGTAATTGGGGGCGGTGCTTTCCGATAACTTGAGGGCCGTTTCCTGGGAGTCGAGAGAGAAGAACTCGTGCATGAAATCGTAGAGCTTGTTGGCGTAGTAGGCGCTGTCGATGTGGCCCACGCACCGCTCATAGAAGATGTCACAGAGCCAGCGGTACTGGGTCGACTACTGTTTGGCGACTCGTTTATATACCTGAGGGATATTTCAAGGCCTTTAGGTTCAGACGACGTTTCTTCTGGCATCTCCAGAATCAGAGAGAGCTTCTCTCGCAGTGGTTTGAAATCTGCGAAATTAAGAGGGGGAACAGGAGGCGGAACCTCCATAGATCGAACGGCCCTGCGACGATGCCCATGTTTACCATTGGAAGGGCGCTTAGGGCTCTTTTTGGGACGAGGTGGGGGCGGCAGTGAGAAGGCTGTGGGCAAGGGACTGATAGGCACGACTAGGTCTTGGCTGGCTTCTGTGAGCGGGGCCGATGACACGGGTGAACCTGTTTCTGGTCGGATTTTGAGAGAAGGTGAGGAGAAAGAGGGGGGAAGTGAGTATGAAGGAGATTCGTCGGATAGTCTGCGACAATTCAGAGGGAGATTACTTTCATCCGGAAAGACCAGCTCCAACGGAACACGAGCTCCAAGTTTCTTCCGAAGCCTATCCATCTTGGCTTTCCGAAAACTCGCAGGTGAGGAGTGTGTGGAAATCGGCAAATGTGTGAAGGAGCTAGAAGCTGTGGCTGGCCGCTGCTTGAGTGGCACGCGTGGTTCATGCTTAATCTCAGCGTCTGAAGAAATGGTTGTTGAGCCAAAATCTAACTGCCGTAAAGCACTGTCTTCGAGTTCTTCAAGGGCATTCGACTGCAACTCAGAAGTCTCATGCGTGTGCTTCGGATATTCCTCTTGATCGGGGTAAGTATTCGGAGAGTCGGGTTGCTGGGCCCGTTGCATGAATTCGGGATCTGCTAGGCGCGTGGAGGAAGGTGCTGCGGTAATGGGTTCCATATGAAGGCGATCAAGTTCAATACGCAGCATGGGGATGTCGGTGTGCTGTCCCCAGGTGTTAGATACCAACGAACCCGAGGTAACTACGGTTCGTCGGTAACGTTTGCGCCGTATCATAGTCGACGATCTCGTTGGTACTTCATGCGATAACGAGGATGAAGGCAGTAAAGTGGTGTCGAGTGAAGCTCTCCTACGAAGCCCACTGTAGGCATGTTTGGTGGTTTGGTCTTGTACTAGAGAATAAGCAGTTCAAACAACAGAACGGGATTTCCAGATGAGAAACAAACCGCTGATATTAGAGAGATTCACAAAATAAGGTGTGCTCCCAAGCAGTTGCTCGATTTTCCGCGATTTCCTCAGAAGTACTGTTCGCTGCTGGGCTGTAAGGGTATTGGTCGTTGGAGGGAGTGCGGGTCGTAAAGTTGCCATGAAACCGGTAAAGAGTGCGTCGCGATAGAGCAAGTTAACACAGAGAGGAGAACCTGAAGAAGAGGTGCTCCAGCCGCCGTTACCACTGCAGACAGATTAGGCTACTGGGGTCGTGGTTGGGCTGCCAGACAGACAATAGCCATGTATGAGGCAATCATATAAAGCTTCGGGATAACCTCAAAGTGCCAATCATAAGGACAAAAAGCTGCGAATGCCAGTGTGATCAGGTGGCGTCCTGCTTCCATGCGCTTCTGGTTTTTTTACATCCGAGAAATAGCTCTGCCGGCCGTTGCGATTGTGTGGGATTTGGGATCAAAACCGAAGGAGCTTGGACCAATCTCCCATATTTGTGGACAATACGAGAGTAAAACCACGCATGTTGATCTTATTGTTCTAAAAAGTCAGGTAGAAAAATAAAGAGGGACGTTTCACGAATGTTGAGGTTTGCAATAACAATAGACTTGGACGTTCCTGAGAAAGGCAGGAGGCGTCGGAAAATTCGCGTGGCGTTCGGCGGGTCCGCTACCTTTGATAGATAGCTTACCTCCGTCATCACGACATTTATACCCGCGACACCGGTTGCTATCGACGATGGCGAGGAGATATGGCAAAGTTGATTGGGCATATGACGTGGATGAAATGCGAACGAGATAACGAGCTGGCCCCCTTGCCTTCCCCACATTTGATGTCGCTGCGCTGTCATACTTTGTATATATACAAATCTTTGCTTCTACGACCGCTCTGCAAACGGCGCATGGAACTAGTTCATGTGCTATAAATCACTGGGCTTGATTTTTGCAAGAGTCAACGAAGAGGTCAGTACCTGGTCATGTTTTTTGAAATACCCTTTGGCTTTGGCAATGCTCGATTCGAACAAGTGAAGAAATGATTAGAATTGCAACGGCTTTGGAATTCAATGCAACAGCCTATGGCATCCAAATCCAAATTATTCTCATAGTGCACTCGATTTGTCCAGGGTTTTTTTTAAGGTTTGCAGTGCTTTGAGCCTGCATGAAGTCCCAAGCCTTTTTTTACGAATCAGGACGGAAGTCACCTCGCCCCAAGTATGACGGTAAACGGAGAACTATTAATCCAGCACTCACTCCTACCACTAAGTACAAGGGCCAGGCCAGGTGAAGGATGATTATACAAGTATTAGAATAATAGGCCCATCAGAAAAATCTTCTTACCAGAGTAAAAGCTATATTTTATAAGCTAATATCAACGCCGGGACAAATTTGCTACATACTGTAAGGAGAGTAAGCACAATGACTGCTGTCAGTCAAGAGGTGTCTGGGGTCTCATTTGATGAAGCCTACCGCTTTGACGCCAAGTTTATCTGCGGCGTCCTATCTGATACCAATTCGAGAAGCCTTGAGTGAAGCGCTGACGAAAATGCAAAAAGGGATATCTACGCATATTTTGTTGATTCGGACACAGCAAGCAACTTCTGTCCAATGATCTTGATCCCGAGTAACCAAAAGTGCTTGGTGATTGCCAAGATTACATGGCGCCTCGGCAAGAACTAAACGCGTTGGCCGAAACAAGTCATCATTTGAGTAAAATTTAGACAGAAAATACGGGCACTACTAGACCTTACTAGACGTGGAACTCTTATGTTACTATAGCGGTCATTTTTTTTTGTACTGCGCAGATTTAGAAAGTGCGGCCCGCTGAGCAAGCATTGTACAGCAGGTGTGTCAGGGGTACGGGCATCTCCGAAATTTCTGGGCACCGTTGCTTGTCCAATTCAAGTGCAACGTCGACGATAGCGGCCATCACCTCCCTCTTCCCTCTTACCTTACTAGCACCGTAGTTCTCCCTTTTGCCGTGCTGGCTCTCGGTGGAAGGTGGTCTCACCGTTTATTGACTACAATTACCCCAACCAAGAGATACACTCTGGCACAATGTCTATGCCTTCATTCTTCAAACGGAATCCACCAGTGGAAGAGCCAGATACGGATGAGGAGAACGAAAATATAGATCCGGAGCTACGTCTACGAACTGTGAGGACTGCTGCATCGGCCATTGCAGAGTCAATCAAGTCTGAGCAGAGAGCGGAAAGGAGAAAGTCGAGACAGAAGGGCTCTAGGTTTTTTCGACGATACCAGGCTGAGAGCAAGCCAGCGCCAGCGCCAGCACCATCAAAGGAGGTAGCGGCACCTCAAAGGCCAGGAGCTCGACGAAATGTTCACGTTAACCATCCGCTGTCGGCAATGGAGATAGATCACGACGGGGAGCCCAAGGCGCGATATGTTAGAAACAAAGTGCGGACAACGAGTGCGTGTAATCCTCATGTTGTGCGCGTTCAACTTAATGATATAATATTCAGAGTATACCATCATTACTTTTATTCCAAAGAATCTGTACGAACAGTTTCGACGGTAAGTTTCATCTATTCGGTTCCCCTGAAGTCCAAGTTAGTGATGTATCTGCAGCGCTGCTAATCTGTTCTTTCTATCACTCGTCATTCTACAACGTAAGAGGATTTTTAGTTGCCTATCAACAACTTCTAATGACACGATCATAGTATTCCCTATCTTCGGCGCTGCTGCAGGATCAACAGCCGTCCTCCCACTTGCTTTCATCATCACGGTGACGGCCATTAAAGACGGCGTGGAAGATTACCGACGTGGTTCATTAGACGAAGAAGTCAACACCTCTGCCGCCACCAAGCTAGGTGGCGGGTGGCGAAACGTGAATCAGCCTAGAGACCCTCGACATTGGCTCGAGAAGCTACTTGGCCTGAATCCCCCAGGGAAGGTCACCAAAGGGGTGAAGAAGTTACGAGATAGGGAGGTTGGAGAGGCAGGAAAAGGTGTACGTGTTATTCTAGCGAAAGGTGGCGACGACAACTCGAGCGTGCTCACCCACGATGCTACTCAGAGCCAGAGCAGCATTGATGTCCGAAATCGCCGGTTGGAGGACATCCAGAGTATCGACTCTCACAGTTACCCACCAGACGCATCGAGACCCTCACTTTCTGAAGCATCATCTTCAACCCAGGTGCAAAGCCGCGAATATGTACCGTTTGGATCGTTATCACAGTATCAACAGTCCGTGCATTCCCAATCGACACTAGGAGTTATTGACTGGAGAAAGCGAACGAATGGAT